CTAGCTAGTAGATAGTTTTAAAAATCAGCAACTATCAGGACTCGTACACTAGGACCTCCTGGTTAGCAATGCTGCAGACAATAGCAATTCTGACAACAAGCCATCACACCCAGTATAAGCCATCATGAAGCCTATCTCTAGGGATATTAACCCAATACAAATAAATCTGGTGCCTTGCCAGGAGAGGTATTACCACAGGCTAAGGGGAGGAAAATCCTGACAGAAAAGGTGGGTAGGTGCGACTCCATAGTCATAGTGACAACACCCCCTGCCTCACAGGAATAAACTTGAAGACAAATCATGGTTCTCCAAAAATGGTAGTAGAGATCAGACTAGCAATCTGTCACCATAAAAATCAACTGCTTACAAAGCTCAGTACAGGAATAAACAAATAAAAATAAGCTCAGAACAGGAAAACTAATCACATAAAATAGGCAAGTTAAAAGGCCACAGAAGAGTCATTGAATTTAGGCCCCAAGTATGTCACTACAACAGTGCAGAGGGGAAAGCTTCAATACACTGCAGAATTATAAACAAACAAAATTAAATCAACATTACAAAAAAATTCTTTGACAGGATTCTGGCAGGGCTATGTGTTCTGTATGAGGAAATTCTATAATGTTAATATTAATTAATGTTTTTATACCCTTGGAAGATAAAGAAGTTGAAAAAATATTCTATGAAAATCTACAGAAATCAGTCCATCAAAAATTCAAAATGTATCATCGTAATCATAATGGATGATTATAATTCAAAAGAGAGAAAGACAGGGTAGAACTAGGGAAATAGAAAATGCACAAAGAAAATCAAATGTAGAAAATTTAGAATATAAAATATTTGTTAACAGACCAGTGAAACAGCTATTAGTGTGTAAAAACATTGCACGAAATGTAAGAACAGAGAAAGAACAAATACCAAAAAACTGGGCTGCAAATTTTTCTGATCCATTGAACACCACGCAAAGGATAGAAAATTAAAGTGGCTTATTTAAGGGGGAAGGAAAGAAACAATGTTGATAAATCTTTGCTCAAAAACCTTTGCCTCTTTTCGAAGTCAATTTCAACTTCATCTCCTTTTCTTTACATTTCCTTCCCAATACATATTTTATAAGACTGGTCAGGTGAAAGAAAGAAGAAAACATACACTCAAAAAAAAGGTATTTCATAAGAAAACAAAATATTATATTGCAATGTATTTATTTGATTCTTACAAGTACACTGCATTTATCTACGGTGCTTCAAGATATGTTTATGAAAAAACAAAAATTGAATGGTAAATAGAATTGAATATGCCCTTTTTTAACAAAATCCAGCTGCTTTACATCTTGGCATAAACAATTTGCTTGGACTTCAACTTAAATATTACGGACAAAAAAAAATCACATTTTAAGCATAATAGAACACAGAATGTGATACTAGCATGATAACACAGAATGACAACTTTAGTATAAATTATAGACCATGTTAGAAAGATTGACAATTGGATGATACAAAAAACAACACAAAAAACATCACTTAGAATTAACAAAATATGTTCACAAACCATACCCACAAATCAAAATCGACTGCCTACCAAGAGTTACCTAAACCACAAACATAAAATATCACTACATTCTCTTTCACGCCAACAGCTTGCATAAATTAGTGATGCAATATGGCAAGTGCAAAGAGCCGTGCAGATCATTTTGAACACAAGCTTTATTAATTTTCTGCACTAGCTGCATTTTCTTTAATCTGGCTTTAACATTCTGACATCCAAAACTAGATATAGTAAGCAATATTTCAAATTACCATTTGCTCTGTGTGCTATACCGACATGTCTTGTACAGCATTTTTGAATGTAAATATATTCAAGGCAGCAATTATTCAATATTATTTTGCAAACATTCAAACAATGAGCTCAGTGAGGCCTATGAAAAAAATTCAGACAATGAAGGCCCATGTCCACACTTTAATTACTTCACTCAGAAACGATTCAGAAGCTTTCTTCTATTACACAAGAGCAATGGTTCATCAAACAATTCCATTAGCCATTTTCCAGGAACCACAATAACCATCTTCAACAAGAAGTCACAAGAACACACAAGAACGTAGAACATGCAATTAAAATTATCATATCTGATTGTCCTCAAATAATTTGTAGTTAACCTTTGTATTTCAACAGTGGTGGGAAACAAGCATATAATATATTAGGATTTAGTTTTTAAAATAGACAACATCAATAAAAAACAGCATATTCTACTTACATATAACATTCTTTTAATTTCAATTCACATACCCAGTACATGAAATTACAGCAATAATGCCATTAATCAGGCACCTGCATGCTATTCAACATCACAAACATTCAAATTACACATCCCACACCAATGCTTGAGCACTACTTACACATTTCAAGATAAATTGCAACATTTATGCATGTTTCAATGGGCAATTATCATCAACCGTCTTTGACCAATTTGTTAGACATTTCAATTGAATTGTGAAAGACATTTAAAAAATATGTAAATGATTAGAGATAATGGCAAACAAATGTCAGAGAGCACAATGTAAACTCTTAAATGCATTTAATGTAATCTCCATGTTACAAATGCAGAGCAAGTTCAAGAAAGCAATAAAGAACTGCAAATTTGATACAATACCTAACAGCCATTACATAAACAGTATTTACAATTCTTACTCATTTACTTGCCGTTCTTTGGAAGAAGGGCATTTACTGCAGTTAAAATAATTCTGACTATCCAATCACGAATCAATCTCTACTTGAAAAGAAACAAAACTTCTCTATAAAATAATTGTATTTTCATATAAATATAAAAGATATTTTTCTCACAACAGTTAGACTGCAGACCAGCTTTGTCTGAATCTTGAAGAAACTAAGCTTAAAAACTATCAGTCAATTTGCATGTACATCCTTTAAGGACTGTGCATGCTGGAATGAGAGCAATCATCACAACAATATCTGCAAAAGCAGAAAAGTAAATACATGTAAAATTATGGTTTACTTAAATTATTTACAACTCTATAGAGTAATCCTCAATGAACACCTTAAATGCAAAAAGAATGCAATGTTAATGTAATGCAGAGTAGCTCGTCCATTTTGCAGCAAATGACCACTGAATCATTCAGCATATTTCATTATTTTCAAGTTTGTTTATATTCTCTGCACAATCATCAATCTTGAAAAATCAAAAGTAGCAGTTTATAAAGAGAAGTTGTAATTAAGAAGAAATAGAAAACAAAAGATGAAGAGAAATAGCAAAAAAGAGAAAAACAAGAAAGAAAATGGCAGACACAAAAGGAGAAAAAAAGAGGGGAAATAGGAAAGTATATAGAGCTAACAAAGGTATGCTTCCCACAATGTTCCTCTGAATCAATGAGATAGAAAATATCACTTTTATAATACACAACACAAATGTATGCTTCATCAATCTCTGCCAAACAAGACAGCCAAAATTCTCAGCAACTATCACTTGGAGGATTTCTTAATTATAATGAAGTAAATATAAAAAAATATCCTTGTAGGTATATTCAAATGATTTAAGACAAATATTAAATAGAATAGAAGCAACGCAACTAACAAAATTCAAAAACAGACTTTCCTGACAAATGCATTCCTCCATTTTTCTATTCTATCAATTAGTGAATTGTTTTTTGCTTTTTTTTTTACAACCATAAATCTAACAAATTCTAGCCTTCTCAATAAATTGCAGAATTAATACTTTCCATACAAGTTCTTATATCAAAAAATATTTTAATTATTGATAAATGACAATGCAACTTCTAATAAAATCACAATAAATTAGAATTTAAAAAAATAATTTTCATAACGAAGATTTAATTTCTGTCAGTTGAGAGAGTAATTTTCAAAAAGATCAAAAAGATGTATACATGTATTAAATATCCTCCACTTACACTTGCAACAATCCCAAATAATATTTGCCCTGTATTATAATACCTCAGATATCCTAGCTTTGCTGCACATCCTGTCTCCACAAAGAAAGTCAAAGTCAAATTTCAATTCACATTCATCACAGCTATTACTAACACACAGGAACAGTCCACCGTTTTGTACAAAGAAATTAAACATTAAAAAATGCCATACACACCTATGAGAGAAATATGGTCATATCCCATTATTGTCACAATTTACAAGAGACAGATCTATTTCTTTTTTTCTTTCCAACACCTATTATTTTCTAGCGATTCATCTTTTCGTTATTTCTCAATTCTTGGAAGCAAAAAAAACAACTAATGGAATAATTATATCTCTAACTCACTTTTTCTTTGGAAAACTATTAGATTAATAGATTTACAAAATACTACACTTCTGCGCGATTCAGATAACAAAAAAGAAACAAAAAAAAATAACCATGAAATCATTCTTATATTATTTTTTTAGAAACAAAAATATTAATAAGGAATACAACAATGAACAATGAAATATCTTTGAAATTTTAAGGATTTTCATTTTTCTGTACACATCTGTATTGTCCACAATGCATGTAAATGCAAGTAATTTACTTCGCAGATTGATTTGGTCTTGGGAACTATGCTATCACGTATATACCAACATGGTTTTAAATAATTTTTAGTTCCAAAGTCAAAATTTCGGAGTAAATGCTCTTTAAAACAACCAGTACTTGTACAATACTTAAATTATTATCCACATTTTCAAGTAGATCGCATCTCCATTCTATTGAAACAGTGACGTTTGTCAACAAATTTGCAGAATCTGAGTAATATCACAGGGTGCACTGCACACATATTTGTATAGTCACATCATTTTATAAAAATTTGTCTTCAACACTTGTTCTTTTAGATTTTCATGTTGTATTACACACTTTTTAAAATTTTCTACACATTTGTTTCCCTGGTGAGGCTCTCAATGTCATTGTATACATCTGTGAGAATTAACAAGGATTCAATTAACACAATTTCATCATGCCAAAGCAGATACTTAAAAAAAAAGTGTTTTTACCCACATTCAATGGATTATTAATTAATCCAATAGATTATCCATGCAAAATTTATTTCCACAAAGCTACTAGACTCCAAAAATATTTGGAAAACTTAAAATTTTTGAGTTGTTTGCTTGGTAACAAATCATCCTTTTATGCTAAAATAAAAGATGACTTAATGTAATACAATATTAAAAATTTATATTAATAATGGAATATACTTTGCTCCAAGTGCTTACTAGTATACACTTATATTTACCTTACAGTATTTAGCAGAAACAGTAAAACAAACTAAAAATTAGGATTTTGCTACTGTTGAAAAAATGGATTTTGCTGGTACCATTTGACTGTCATAAATACTTGTAAATTAAATTTCAATAATACATCACTGTTTTGTAAAGGTGAATGTACCAATGCAATTCCATGGTCAAATTGAAAATTGAAATAAATTCAAAGATTATGTATTATATCAACACAGTATCTTGGTTACTTCTTTTTGGAGATTTCTTTATTATTTTCGCTCTTGCTAGTTTCTTAGAAAAAATTAAAACTGTAGTTTTCTAATACAAATTATTTCAGATTATATAGCTGTCTGACGAAAAAGTACAAACTGGTCAAAAAGCTAGACATGGTGATGTGATTGCAACATGTTCACCACATGTCTCCCTTACCCTAACTCCTAGGCCTGGCCTGGGAACACCGCCAGCTAGGTAAAAATCAGATAATTGACCCTAAAATGTCATATACAGTTTCTCAATAAATGAAACTTTGAACTTCTACACATCAGTACATAATATTGCTCATTTTTCAATCTTTAGTCTTGGAACTTTGAAAACAAATACTATAGGAATATCCTTTTGGATTCATTAATAATCTATTAAACACTAACATGAACACTCATTTTAATTCAATTGGCACTACCATAGGCTGGTCCTGCTTCCCATGTAAGAGTAACTTTAATTTATCACTCGGCAGTCCTGATCACTGTTGCCCAAAACATGACTGGCACAGTTACAAAGAACATTGACCTTCTATACATAAAATTCTACATTTGTCACGTTTCAGGCAAAATCAAGTAATATCTCAAACTGTTGGAATAACACAAATATCATTTAATTATCATTGTAGCTTAAATGATCCAATATTTTAATTCTGAATTATAATTGAATTGTGTGTAATACAGGAAAATTATATATATATATTTTGGCTGCTCAATTCTAGTTATTGTATTTCTCTTTTTAAGAAAATATATTTAGTTCAATATTGTACTATCATGTAGTAATGCATCCTTTTGTATTTACCTTCGATGCAAGGTACAAGAATAATGAATTCTATAATTACCACATATATTCTACAAAAATGAATCTAAATTGGTGTCTAGCTTCCATTACTCTACATACAATTCTCTTTAAAAATAAAATGTACATATCTTCAAAAAAATAAGACATTTACAACCAAATAGAAGAAATTATAATGATTCAAAATTATGAATATGTTACTTCCAAATACTATCCATCTATTAAAAATATTTAATGATTTCTAGTAATAATCACTCAAAATCACTCTCCGCTAACTGGCAAGATGAAGCACAAATATGGATATTCAACACGCATTAAAATGAGGAAATATAACTAAAATACTTCTTTCCTTTCATATTATTTATTAGCTGCACACAAGTTACTAATCTCCATTATGTGAAAAGATAAACAGCTATTCATAATCCAAGTTTACATTTACCTGCCTTGAAACATTTATTTTTTGGATCCTTTCATTTTGCTCATTTTATTATTGCAGAATCTACTAAACAGTACAATATAAATGAAGTACATAGAAATTAACTATAGAGGGAGCTGAATAATATGCATTAACATCGGATGTGCCTTAGCATTGAAACACACGCACATGGCAAATCATACCATCTTGAGATTTACATGTTACTTTGCAAACTACTGCCTTGAATCCTTTTTCTTTTCTTTTTTGAACTTTACCAGTGATCTAGAAGTTCAATGTAAGTGAAATAAATTCAAGTTTTCATTAAAAATTTGATACTTGCAAAACAAAGTTATGTACATCAAAATGGTATCTAATTCTTCATAAATACATTACTTGCTCATGGGAGATGTCTTGAGCACATATCAGTGACAAAAAAGCCCATGGTTATAGGTTGAATCCACTGGAGTATACAACCTCAACTTCTTTCACATTCAGTATTTTTTGTTTTTCTTTAACAATAAAAAAGATTTAAAATATTTTAATGAATTAGAATTTGATCTCTGGGGTAGTTAACTCCTTAGAAATTAACAATGAAAATAAATTGTGAAGGGACTAAATTTACTACTGTAGTGAAATATATTTCCTAAAACTGCATTGATTTTGGATTAATCAAACTACGTAATCAGTAAGCAACTAGAAACTCAAGAATTAAGAATGACCATAAATATAATATTTTATATTCATATTGAAATTAAACAGCTTAGTGACAGGTTTTGAACTTTATTACACATTTCCATTGTTTGTTTGTTTCTTTTGCCCACCATTGAAGCATTTATCTTAATTTCTCAAAACCCTCTAATGAACCTAGACATTTCAAAACTCCAGGCCCACCAAGCTTAATGGTTAAGATGCCCAAATTGACTAAATAATCCCATGCAGTAGGACAGTTTTATACACAACAAATGAATGGTTTGAAAGTGAAAAGAAGAGAGATTTAATAAGCAATAAATTACCGAAGTGGAATATGATTGAAGTAGGGAATAATATGCACAGAGAATGTGCAGTGAACAAGAAACTTCTATATCTATCATCAGTTTACGACAATGACACAAGACACGTATTTGAGAACTCTTCACAAATGCAACGCATCAGCAAAACATTAAAAAATAATTAGTAGTTGATTAATCCTCCTTTAACTTTTTACATTCCCCAAGGTAGTATGTTTATTACTTTTAATTACACATCATCTATATCAAGATAAAAAGAAATTAGTAATATTACATTCATTGTCTAGTGATACGCACGTACTACAATATATCCACATATAATCAACACCAAGGTTTCCGTATATTAAAATATATTATCAATAATTATATTTAACTGCACATTATCTTACTACTTAATTACATAAAAATCATTCTTTGCAAATGAAATTATTCAAAATTGCAAAAAGGATGCAGAAAACGTACTGAAATCCTAGAAGGTTATCAAAACAAAGATGCACAGAAAAAAAAAATTTTAAAAAGTAAATAATTTTCACACCTAAAATTCCAATATGTATACACACAATTGTACACTTATCACCAAAATGGTCTTACAAGCTGCTGATAGTTCATAAACGATCTCAATTTAATACCAACACAGTTGCATAAGCTGCTTATTGGAACAGTCCACTTTGAAAAATCTTACAGTCTAATTTGTTTCAAAAAAACAAACTATTACATTCACTATTGAAATACAGAACATTAAGTATTTCAACAGTAATATTCATACTAAATGATAGTAATAGAATAAAATCCAATAATAAAATGAAGGAACCACTTACATCTGCGCTAATTGTACAAATGAAAGATTTCTTCAAAATTCCAATCAAGGGAAAAAAAATTTCACAAATATCATGCACACACAGTCTTCCTAATTTGATCATGAAGAATCAGTTCATATGGAAAGTGTAATTTTACACCCCAAAACTATCTCTAATATTATATAAATAACGAGAGATGACAAATTATGTAATTAAGCAAGCTAAAAGAAAAATGTTTGCAGAGTAGATTTGCAAGAAGATATTTTTGTAGTGTTTTAAACTAAAATTATAAATAGTGTGCACCTCAAAATGTAAAGCTTAAGATTATTGGAGTGTTTACAAACAGTACATAACTCATGACAAGGTACGTAAAACTGACGCTCATTTTAGTTTTTAAGCACCAATGTGTTGTTTGAAACAGCACATAATCATACCTCAAACAAGATTTGGCAAGCTTAATATTATGCTTATTGTGCACATTGCACAAATTCGACATTTGTTTACCATTTTTTTAAAAATATAAATAACAAACAGAATTTCACCAAACATCTAACATTTGTATAAAACTCTGCAGTATAATTACAAGCTATGTTTACACTTTTAAATCCTTTACAAGCACAGGTTTTTCAACCTTATATAAGCCCAAGGAGACCAAAATATTCATTAAACTCCCCTGCTTTGCTGAAAAAAGCAGTTTATCATTGCTTCTCTTGCTTGATTGCTCATCTATTCAGATTCCTCATCCTCCATAGATTAAAAAGCTTCTTTACCTCACAACCAGATATTAAATTCACAGGCTGCGAATATGCCTTGTCCGCCGAAACAGCAGACAACACGACGTTAGACCACTTCCAGCCTTAGCCAACTCTGACATGCTCAAGGAGCGCCGGGCAAAATCCACCTTTTCAGCAAAAACCTAGATCACAAAAGGACCATGGTGAAATATTACAATTAACGTAATACAATACACACAAACAAAGCTCACACACACACTAACAACAATGCTTTATCTTAACGTTTTCGAAATCTAGCAAAAACAACTCCTATTCACCACTTGCAGATTAGGATGGTGTATGAACCATTCAGTAGAATGAGATGACTGAAGATGTGCAAAATACTTTTTAGCAATGACGCAAATGATTACACAATTACAAGTTATGTTTACGCTTCTAAATCGTATACAAACACAGGTTATTCAATCTTAAATAAGCCCAAGGAGATCAAAATACCGGGCAAAATCATGTGTCCATACATACATGTAGCTAATGGCATCAATAATATTCAATATTTCTGCAGTCTACTTCAATTCACAGGCAAGAGCTGGTCTGAAGTCATCATGTGAAACCTAAAGGGTGGTTAGCAAACCCTTCTCTGAACAGATTTCTTGCCTATTATTGGCCAAGTTTAAATTTGTGCAACTTCTTATTAATTTATTTTCACATACTGATTTTGATCCAGTAGTGGCCACATGAAAATTGAAAATTGCAAAATGTTGGCAATGGTCAGAGCAATATGTCAAAGAAATAAGATTAATATAAATGTAACTTCAAATTAACCTCTCCCCATAGCATGTCACACACAGTTAACTGTTTTTGATGTAAATAAAGTAAGAAAGAAAGAAAGAATGTATCAGTTCATTTTACATCATTGCAATGCCAATATTAATTAAGATTTTTTAATTTATTCCTTACATACATAAGAACGAAAAGGAAATAAATTATCGTTGTTCTACAGTTCAGCACTGAAAGACTAAGTTTCACACTCAGTCAGTTTGAAGAAAACGGGAAGCCTCTAATTCTTATTTTTTTTATTTTGTGCTTGATGTGGCCACTACTCACTACTGGTGTCTTTATACCCTGCTGTAATCCTTGAGCAATTTGTATACTGGTATCACTAATAGAAAGAACATGTCTCATCAGCAAGTTATCTGTGTGAAGCAAGAGCAAAAAAAAGACTGCGCAATATTAAACACTAGGACTACACATGTGACTCAGTGCACGTAATGTCTCTGTCAATTAAGAGACTAAATTTTGATTGCAAAGAAAAGGTTAATAATGATATTTCACATGGAGCTACAAAGAATTTGTTACGGTTCAGGTTTCAATTGTTTGTTTTAGTTTTATAAATTACAGCAGAAATTTCAATAAAAACTTGAGATGTGTAATGAAAGGCACTCTTCAAAAGCTGAACATGAATCATAGGGCCATCCTTCACAAAATATGATAATCACAAAAGCTCGGGGTTTTCAAAACGTGTAAATTTTTACATGATATATTATTAAAAACAAAAGGCTCTTGTTTTATTCCATACAAAAAGTTATACTTTTGAAGTTCAAGTCATTGAAACATTTTTCCTATTCTCAAACATAATCTTTTATAATTTTTATCGAAAACATTCATGTCATCAAATTTATCAAATGTTCAACTGTTTCACAAATTTTCAATATGGTAGTGACACAAAGTATTTATTATTCATAAAGTCAGGTCATTATTCCAGTCAAGCAATAGCATCTAGAACAAGCAATACTTTAATACACTTTTACCGAATAGTTCTTTAAAGGTGTGACCAGAAAGAGTTGCTTTCACCTCAAGATTTTAGTCATTTGAACGACTCTTTAATAGCTCTTCTACTTCTAAGGTTGCTTGGAAACAAACACAGCCCAATCATAGTAGGATGAAAGCTTATTTCAATAGGGATTTGTAGTCAAAATGGAACAGGAAACACTAACTGTCCAATTTCTCAATTCTTTGTTGAGAAATGGTTTCAAATCTAATCATGAAACCTTCCTTATTGAAAAGCCTTCTCCAACCCTGTGAAATCTCGTGAAACAAAAAACACCTGCAAAGAAAACTAACTGGAGAAGACCCAATGATAAGCAGTAAATGTTTCTGATTCAACCTCGAACTGGACAAAATATTTCACATAAATCATCAGTCCCCCAGCAAATTAGTCAGTTTTGCCATGGTAAGCTGCCTCCCATTTGGCTATAGAAGAATCCAGTCTTTAAATGTGTTTATGCGGGATGGCAGTTTTCTGAGAAAAGTATTTTTTGAGCATATGCTTTTTTTCCATTAATTATTCAAAAATAATATTTCTGTGAAAGTAAAAAATAATTCCTGCCATTCACCATCCTGCACTCAAGCACTATAGATCGCTAAACATTGCAATGTAATGCAATGCAACTTGGCAATTCTTCGGTAATGTTGTCGTCTGTAACTGTGTGCATATTCAATAAATTACATTACTACAAAATAATTTTCTTCACCAACCACTCATAGGCACTTTTTAAGCCTAACAGAGGGAAATGTAACCTCAAAATAAAATGATTTAATAATGATGATAAGAAACAGGCCAATATCCAATTGAAGTTTCACCTACAATAAGTCAATTATAATACAGAGCCCCCTAAGTTGTGCTTTCCTGGCACACCAGTTGCCAGTGAGTGTTCGACTTTTCTATCTTGTGACGCGACTATCTTCTTCCTTTCCTTGCTTCCTTTCTTTCTTCATAAACTTTATGGAAATGTCCATGAAACTCCCTGCATTACATTGAAATACATTGCAAAATTTGGAAATATAATGAATACATTGTTATTCTGCCCTAGAATGATGATGGTGCTGTTTAGTAAACCTTCATGGGTTAAACTCTCTAATCACGTTGGCAACCCCCATTCAATTTAAACATTGGCATCAGGTTTACTACTTACGTGAACACATGGCAACGTAAAAAATAGTAATAAAATGTCCAAAACTTCAGCAAGGTATCATTTTCAAAATATTAGTGAGCAACATCAATTTAGCTGTGAAACTAAGTTTTTAGTCATTAAAATCATTTTGTTTTTGCAGGAACTCACCTTCGTAGATTCAGGAATTTCGTCTGATGAACGATGAATGAGAGTACCATTTACATAAAGAACGTTAGCAGCAATGTCTTCTGGCACTGTCAGAGTTTGGTAGCTGAATGTGGCTTCACGTTCAATGCGCTATTAATAAAGCAAAAATAGATGAAACAATTTAAAGAATTTCATTGAAGTTAATAACATTATTTATTATTATTATTACTATTAATAATAATAATTATTATTATTACTATTAATAATAATAATTATTATTATTACTATTACTATTACTATTATTATTACTATTACTATTACTATTATTACTATTATTATTATTATTATTATTACTATTATTATTATTACTATTATTATTATTACTATTATTATTATTATTACTATTATTATTATTATTACTATTATTACTATTGTTACTATTATTATTATTATTATTATTATTATTATTATTATTATTATTATTATTGTTATTCACCAGCATTAAACCTAGGTAAATTTTATTTGCACAAGAGGTAGTAACACCAACAAAATCATCATTCACCGACAAATATACCCTTATCTAGGAGGTATGTTGGAATACAATACATTTCATATTTTAGTTTTTAAAAAAAAGAAGAGAAGATAAGAGAACGCACAACTGTTTCACTATTACCCCTAAACCTCAAGCAATACAGTTCAGCTCAATTGCATTCAACCCCACACAGACATTGAAGTACCTTTTCTTGGTTTTTACTCTAAACAAATATTTATAAACCATATACATGCATGTACCTATAAAACCACAGCAAAAAAAAAAACAATTTTTAAATCAAAAATATCTTTAAAACTAATAAAAAGATAATGAAATTATTTTTTGGAATAAATGCAAAAAACAATGGTTAAGTGTGTAAGAACAGAAATAATATTCACTAACCTCTCAAGCGCTCAAAATATTCAAATAGAAACAAAGCTTTACTAAACATTGTATTAAAACTAAAATTGGAAAGCAGGTAAGAGGGTTTTTCTTTGCCTCATTATGTGAAGGAAAAATTGGAAAAGTAATGCAAAAGGTGCAACAACTAGAATGTACTCGTATTAATAACTTATTTTTTACCAACATATTAATGCTTATTGCCTTCAATACAGAGCTCAACATAAACTGCATAACTTACCTGGATTGAGAGCTAGAAAGATTGAAGGATGCAACATGTGATCTTAGGGAGGGGATTATAAGAGGGAAATATTAAAAAGACAAATCGAGCTAAGTTAATATCTATTTAATTAGTAAATAAGTAAATGTGAATCATTAAAAATTATAAGTAAAAAATAAAATAAATCGTGTAAAAAAGTTAACTGGTTCTAATGCTCTCTGGTGACAAAAATCTCTTGGACTAATGGCCCCCCTGGCTTTTTGTCGCCACACTTTTTCTCTGGGAACTTTTTCAAGCACTGACAGGTTGTAACAAAAAATTACATTTTTTGAACTCTCTTCCATCTACTGAATTACATAATTAGGCAATATTATATATATATGAATTGTGATGGCAGCATTCCATTCCCTCTTTCTAGAGAAAATGCAATAGGTTTCCCTTCCATAATGAACCAGAATTACCTTCAACTTTTTCCAACAGGCTTATTTACCAATTACACCAGTGAATGCACTGGCAGATCCAGGAAGGGACTATGCCCCCTCCCCTCAAAAGACCTAGAGTTTTCATTTACCTTCTTTTATTTGGTAAAACCGATTTAAATATTCATATTATTATAATATTTAAATACACATTTATGTAATAATTTAAACAATAATATTGTATAGTATCATATCTACAGTACACAAATAACATACAATATAATAACAAATATGTTTAATATTTAACAAAAATCTATGATGTCTGCCCCAAAATGATGGCTGTATCCACCCCTGTCTGAATGTAGTTTTTTCCTACAGATGTAATGTACATTTCTTTCTGCTAGCAAAAATTAGCAATTTATTTTCAATGCTCTATGAAGACTAATTTGTAAAATTGACAACATAAGTAGTAAGAAACTAAACAGAAGTTAACAAAGTGAATAAATAGAATTATATAACCAAAACTTTTATGAAAATCTTACCTTTAATACCTCTTGGGCTGCTTTTCCTGCACCAACACATATTACATCAGGTCCAGCCATAGACACTAAAGCCTTCAAATGTCTAGATTCTGTCACCTGGAAGAATAATCCTTTAGATTACAACAATGCAAGATATTCTAAGGAAACTTGTTTACATAACTTTTCTTCAACAACATTTCTTCAATACACAAGGGCAACAACAAAAATACATGTTCAAGAAAGGAGATTTTAAAAATCAAATAGCATTTTGCAGGTCTAATGATATTAAAAAACATTTGAAAACATGTACAATAACAAAGACTCTTTAAATACATTTTAAAACTAGTGTGTTTCCCACATAAACACCCACATAAACACAAGTAATTCTTATTATAAGAGCAATTATTACAGCAAGAAAGACATCTTTAATATAAATTATTCTTTAATAACATTTTTTATGAAGAAATTTTCAATAATCTTCAATCAAAGAAGGCAATGAATTAGACAATTTTCACAACAAACAGGATATAACAAGACAATTAAAAGAACCATCGAAGGCTTTCACAGACAGAGTTATTATCAATTATTGTTTCTGGATTGATACGCCATGGTACAATTGGCGTGATAGGCTGTTTCATCCATAGCTGCAGTAGTCGGACCCAAGCCAGCCACCATCCTGGACACTTCGCCCGAGAACCTGCCATCACTGAAGATGTCCACTGCAGCCGAGGACAAAACATTTGGCCCTTCCCTGCCAATTGGACCAAGCCTATCAGCCCAGAAACAATAATTGATAACAAATGAAGTCACACTATCACACAAATAATTTTTTGTTCTACAATATTTTGCTTATTAGTAACAGAACATAAAAAATAAGATATCATTATATTTGTTAACTGCAAGTGAACTTGTTCCAATGAAGGTACTTAAAAATTAGGAACAAATTTAACATGTGTAGCTGTGTAATATGAAATTTTCAACTAAATGTCCATTGGCAAATGCCTCAACATGCCCTAGAAGTTTGTAGTATTTATTCTGTGACATACAATATATACTGAACTTTTAAAACAATGCTAAATAAAGAACTCCACATGCCTAAGGATAATGAAAAAAATGTTCTGGATAATTAGGTGCACTGAATTCAATTTGTATCACAGGCATTACTTCAAGTACACATTTTTAAAACTTTTGACTGAAATTTCCAATCTTATAAAAAAATGTATCACTTTTTTACTGTGTCACGCTGATAACACCATGGCGACAATCATCATCTGTCAAATCAAATCTAAATTTTTTTTTAGCAAGTAAAATATATGAACATAAAACTGGAAAATATTTTTTCCTTCTCACAGTCATTTGTCCCTTTCCAATACCACCTGCAACTGTCACAGAGTTCCCACAAAGTAGCAAGTAGATGTAGCACAGTTCTAGCTGATGCTAGGCCTGGTTATAAAATATAATTTTTGTTATTCATAATGATATCCTTATTTTACATTGAGAAAAATTTGGGACTCCACAATTACCTTGTACACAAAACTATTTGAATATCAAATGGTATAGAGGACACTTCTGCACACAAAAGCCTGTCAATTAAGTTTTAGTTCTTAAGGAAGATCATTTTTTCCCCAATTGTAAGTATTAATTTGTTACAATTTACTATAAATTCCCTAAAGTTTAGATTTAGCACATATTTTATAATAGCATAGAGTATTTAAGGTGTTTGTCAAAAATGAAAAATTCTATAAAATTGGAACATTTCAGTAACATTCGAAATTTAATTCAGCACACAAACGTTTAGACTTGGACAAGTGTTCAATTTTGTTTAGCAGAAAAAATTCTTAAATTTTGCACGCCTGTGTAATCCCCGTCAACTACAATACATTTGCAATGCAAAGTTTTGACTACCTTTCATTACATTTTTGACTACCTTTCATTACATTTTTGACTACCTTTCATTACATTTACAATGACATAATATTCATCCTTATATGTGGATATGACTGATGCATCCCGTATATCAGGAGAAGAAAAAAAATATTTAAAAGCAGAATTACTTTCTATTGCTCTTTCTGTACTTGCAACTGTAATTTTTGTTGTTTCCCTTTATTGTAGTACTATATCAGATCTATCATAGAAATTATACAAAAGTTATTGTAATGAAGGTGGTAGCCATTTTAATCGCATTGCATCTGACAATTTTTGAAAACTTCTCTGCAATTCTGAAATAAAATCCTAAAAGGTTAAAAATTTGAGCTAAAATAATTTTCAAATGAAATAAACTGCGGAATAAGAAGATAATTTTTACATATACCTCTCAATAAACATTTTAAAAAAGTTGCTAATATGAACGAGAGTTTCATGTACATCTTTCCTTTTTATAAAAATATACTTATTATAAAACATTTTACATACAATCAACAATTAATCTGAAAACAATCCATTAACTACTTACATAGTATTAAACTAATTTTACACTTTTTTATCTTACATTAGAATACACATTTGGTGACAAAACATTTGAAAGCAAAGAATTTTAGAAAACACCTATGTAGATCAAAATTTACACAGGATACGGGAAAGGCCACAAGGAAAGTAGCAACTAACAAGAGAAGCCAAGGAAAAATAACATTAAGAACACAGCAGGAAGACAAAAATGTAAACAAAGAGGACATATCAGTGAACTTTAAGCATTTGAACATGCAACACCTGCTTAAATAATTAGTTACAACATCAATATGAGATCAATGAAACATTTTATTCTGTATGTTAATTCCAAGACACCAGAAGCCTTCACAACATCTGACCATCCACTGGGCTGCAAGACGCAAGCTCATGGTCATAAAAAACATCGAACTGCCAGTACGGGGAATTTGGTCAATAATGCATGCGATAAATGGGTATAGTGCAGTGCACATAACACATGGAAGTGAACATTGACTGTGCTTTTATTTATACTTCACACCATCTATGCTAGAAAAATCACAGACATCAGGGCACCGTAGGTATTGTTTTGGAACACTAAGAAACACAAAAATATCATACAGAGAAAAGACAATCTTCATGAAAACAGTGATGTATGGATTTTTAAGTAAACAAAAAACAACAACCAAACTTGTACAAAAATCTACATTGTAGGAGAGAATTAGTAAACACACAACAGAAATTTACATCAATTTAGTATATCTATATTTAAGGTACTTTAAGTTTGCTTTCACATCTTGTAATGTTAGAATGCAAAAAAGGAATAATATTTCATGAAAATAAACGCTGATAAATTTGCTAATGAACATTATGTGCATTAACTACGGAAGGATAACGGAAGTGCATTTAATCCACAAGTAAAAATATCAATGAAAATTATTCTGAAATAAACATTAATTAAGACACCTAAACTTTCTCATTATTTACAAATTCTTTTGTACTGGCTCACAATCGTTTTTACTCAAACATCAAACACTCCATCAAATCACAGATAATATATTAACATATCCAAACATGCAATATCTACATATATTAAATATTTTTCAGTTAAAGCCACAAATAGCAATACAGATATTAATTTGACAATTATTATTAATAAATTATAAAATAGGTCATGCGCATTCAATACAATATTTTAAAAAGTTACAAAAATAGTCTCGTGCTTGGCAACAATTCCACAAAATTAGTCATGCACTTTAGGAATTTTTTTACAAGGCATGCAAAATGCAGTAGAAGGAGAAGAGGGACTAATAATGTAGTCTAGGAAGAACAGGAAATCTGCAATATCACACCCATTCTTCATCATTTAAACAAAATTTTTGTAACCCATAACTGTACATAAACACACTGAATACAAAATATATGATTAACATTACAACATATATCTACTTTAATCACAGGAAACATTTATTTTATTTTCCTTCAATTTTTCCTTTCTAACTGATGTTCATCATATTAAATGTGCTTTCATTAACACACAAGTTTCGCTAACTATTTTGGAAACTTTAGTAGATTCTCATCATTAGTAGATCATTAAGTTGCCTTGCAAGTAACAAAAAATTAAGACATCATACAATTTCTTTTCTTGCAAAAGAATGTAGTAGCACAGCAGTGTTTTTGCTTTTATACAAATAATTAATGTTATATTGTCCATTTGACAGTCTTTTGTCAATCATTTATTTCGGATATTCTAAAACTATCTCTAAATCTTATTCCATTTTTAATAAAATAAATCTTCTGACATAAGCAATGTGTAAATAAATTTTAAAAGAAAAAAGGGAGAAAGAAATTTATTAGATAATACTATATTTTCTCATCTATAAGTCCCTCCACATTCAATTTTTATGGGTTGAACGTTCGGTACACCTTGGTATAATATTCATTACAATAATATTGTTTGAAAACTGCTAATTTCCTGCAATTGACACGTTTTCAAATACATGTAATGATTACAATATCAGGGGACACAAATTGGAAAATTAATTACAATGCAAAAATAAAATTTTGTATCAACAGTTATTCTACTCATCTTTCTAAATTGAAAGTTTTCATATAGTTTGGAAAAAAATCCTCATGATACTGGAAACAAATTATTTTTCTTATTATAAAATGCACAGAAGGGGATGAAAGCAATTTTGTCATAGTTGCAGCACTATTTAAATTTGGAGACTTTTTTTTAACATTTAAAAGGCAAAGATTGTTTAAATAAATTTACGAATTGGTCTAAACTTGAATAATTAGTTTCTAACTTGTCTATTCTGAATGTAAATTACAATTTTTTTTGTAAGTGCACAACTGTACTCAACTGCTCAAGTATTGAACTACACATCTGTACAGTTCTAGCATATTTCCAAGATTCACAACACAATGGACATATATGACACAAGAACAGATTATACCTATTACCAAACTTCCAGGACGCAAATACTGGTTACGCAAAATAACAACACTCCCAAACAAATATTACCACTCACTGTACATTGAGATAAGCTAAGCTTGAGAAATAATCATGGAGAAAACTTTCATTTAAAGGAATATGGTTGGTTCTTTTATCAAAATCACCAAACTTTCAAAGCTAATAACTATGGACAGGGGCAGATTTTGTTCACAACAACACAGTAAGCAAATGGAGGCTA